TGATTTTTCCAAGACACCTACACTTCTCTCACCACTCACTACAAGTCCACTTTAAGTGAATGCAACGATCGGAGAAACTTCGATGATGATCAGAAGCCCTACAACATAACAAATGATTACACCATTATCAGCAAGCCACACATCGGTACTCTTCACTGATGATGTCAGAATGGTTATCACCCCAGCAACATGAAGTGACGACCCCACAACCCACATTGTCACTTTGGACGTTTTTGGACCGTTATCTTGAGTCCACATTGTCACCCCTGACCGACTCTTTAATCAATTGACTCTAACATCGCACGTCTCTCTAACCTAACATAGATCATCTACCTACGCCTCATAGTTGAACCAAACCTTGCCCCTAACCAAAAGAAACTCATCTACCTCCTCGAAATCGAGTTCACCTACCATGTCAGTCTCTGCGACCACAAACGTTTGCATGAGGACCCCCGATGATTCGGCTCCTCATAAGGGGGACAACAAGAGGCAACACACTTGATCAAGGTGCCTCATCTAGCCAACCACAGCTTCAGCCAAACCAACCCTCCTCCTCAAATACCCAACAATCCCAATCCTCCTCACAACCCAAAAACCACACCATTCAGCCTTTAACCTCTGGTTTGGTCACGCCAGATAGAACGCTCCTAGCCTCATCTTTTATAGATGTTGACCGAGGATGGAGCAAAATTCTTGAGGTTGCTACTTCGAGTACACCGATCTATTCAGGCCATCAGATAGAACCTAGTTCTGACGCGATGATAATGAGCAATCCTAATGATCCCAAAGTTACTTTGCACAGGTCGCCTAAGCAGCAAGCTCCCTCAAATCATCCAGCTCCATCAATTCACGATCAACTTGAAAACTATGTCCTCGATGAAAGGTGGAATTGTGAGTCGACCGAATGGGATGACGTAAGACAAGAAGCTGGATAGATTGATACTCCACAAATGTTCTACTTCAAAGAGCTGCTGAACAATGTGTTCCTGATCTGATTGGGCTCGAGAATGATGAACTGAAGGATGTGGTAGACTATAACCAAGCTCCAACAGAGATAACCAAGGTCATTAGAAGAACATGAAATCTTCCACCTAAAAATTAGAAACTTTGGGAAAATATCACTAGCACAGTACCTTTCCAAGAGGAAATAAGGAAGCATATATGGAGAAGACCTGACAAAGACAAGGGGATCGATGAACTCAAAGTCAAAGGTCTTACCCATCTGAAAGGAAAGTTCCTAGGTGGACATCTTCATATGCTCGACAACCGATCAATGGGACGACAACGAGAGATCCCAAAAAACGATATGAGAACAAGCAAATTCCCCATCTGGGACATTCAGGAAGCATCTGAAGGTGATCTCGGTGGTATCAAGTTTTCTGTTTACAAGCTTCGACGAACCGATGGAATGGAATTTACCAGTCAAGAGAATGATTTCTTCATGCTCAAAATGGATGACATCTATCAGATGTCAATGGCGTACATGAATCTCCCCCATCAGAAAGAGCAAAGTCCTCAAAGAAAGGTATGAAGCAATCAGAAAGTTTATGTGAGACAAGTACGAGTTCACACCACTCATGATCTTCAGATGACCCTCGAAAACAACGTTCAAAAGGCAAACCTCACAGAGCCAAGACTATTCGGACCAGGACTTAAGAAGTACCCTCCTCTCCATATTTTTAATAAGTCTGACTTCGGGATAGTCTATCTTAATCATGAAGAAAATAAGTGCTTATTGATGCTGGATGAGGTTGCCGAATTCTGTGATGAGACTCATAAGATCTTTCGAGATCAACTGCTTCCAAAAGAGAATGAGATCAAACGAAAACTTGCAGATGCCACTGAAGTGTGAGAATAATAAACAGGCTTAACCAGACTTGTATACAAGACAATATATTTATAATGAAATAAATTAACACCTTTATACTCAACAAATGGTTATTCTCACTTCTATTTTAGAAAAAAATTAACACTCTTAAATGACAATTTAATCATCAAATATTAAAAATAATAAATTTATAAAACCACAGATATCATCAATGATCTCAATATACTATATACCCAACAAAACTATTTTTCAAAATATACTCAAATTATCTTATTTAATTATTGACTAAATGTTTGTGTCATTTTACAATGGTAACGACCTTTAAACGAGATGGATCGAGGTAGTACAATTTAATAGATTAATTACTACTGCTTCATATATAAGTACTAGTCTGTTGTGTATTAATGACTCTTTCATGGTGACCGTTAAAGTTATACGACCGAACGCTGAGTTCGGTCTTGTCTGAGGTATTGAGCCAAGACTTGTCCATCACTTAGTAAAGTACAAAATTGGAGAAATCTAATGTGAGAAAGTTCGTGAGAAGGAAGAAATAGCATGAAAGTGTAATGAGGAGGAACGGTTTTAAAGTTTGCTTTATAATAAAAAAGTAAAAGGGAGCGGGTGGGAAGGATAGTCATGGAGGAAAAAAGAACGGTAAATTCGTAATCATGAAAGGGTTCTGAAAATCCGGAAAGGCACGACAGTTACGACAGACTCTAAATGCTTTATCTTATGTGACAGAATAAGAACGTTGATGAAGATGGAGAATCAAATGCATGAACATGCCTTAAGTACTTCATTTAGTCGACAACTTTGTTACGCTTCACGAGTCAAGCAACTAATTGATGGATATAATTAATCATTGTCTGAAGTAGATGGCTTAAGTCAGACAAATTCTTGATTTCGAACACACATAAGAGGATCAAAGATCACAGTTCGTTTAAAATTAAAGAACAAGATAGCCAAATTATTTGAATATGTTAAAATCCCACAGAAAAATATTGAAGTAATAGAGTGTTATATTAAATTCATGTGTTACTCTTATCAGGTTTACCTTTTAAAATAGAACCATAGTTCTTAACATGGTATCAAAGCCAAATCGATCCATAATCCATGATGTGACCCGCCCCCCTATGAAAAAATGAGGACAATTATATAAATGGCGAATCGACAAAAAATGAATGGTGGCACGATCGAGACGAAACTTCTGATCGTCAGGGGAGGTGTTGAAGTGTCATACCAGAAAATTATGAAATAATAAAATGTTATATTAAGATCTTGTGCTATTCCTCCTATACTATCTCGTTAATCTTTTAAAATGGAACTTCCATAGATCTTAACACGATCTCATAATTATTTTTTAAGAATTGTGAAACATTTCAACCTCATTGGTCTTCATATAATACATCATCTAAGTGTTTACTTTTGAGGGTTTACGTGTATGCAGTAAACTCCAAATTAGGAAACATATATTTACTCTCTCACTCTCACAAAAATATAGAGAGTTATCATCTTAATTCTCATTAATGTTTTTTTCCTTATATTAATATGAATTATTTTAAATTAATGTGTGCAGCCTATGTTGAGTTATGATACTTATAACGAAAAAGTATTTATATCCATATTTTAAACTCAAGACATATATTTACCAATATCATAAACATTTATTTATTGAAACTAACACACACACACATATACACTACTCCTTCGCCTCAGGATTATCTTCCAAATAAGTTTTTGCGTGTAGATTAAGAAAGTGAAAATTGCATAGTGGAGAGTTGTACAGAGGAAAGAGAAACGACTAAGAACATGTTAGAAATATCGAAAACTACAACTTTTTTTTGTTAAAAAGAAAGAAGAGATTATTTTAAAACAACCCAAAATTGAAAGATCATGCTGTGAATTGTGAACGCTTTAATTTATCATCAACGAGTCATGCTTACTCCAAAATCTCCCAATAACCTTTTTCTCGAAACAAAAAATTTAAAATTCTCTCTTTAACAAAAAGCCTCGAGATACTCCGTACTATTAGTAATACATCCATTCTTAAATACTCCCTCCGTCCCTTATAACTTTGCCAACTTTCTTTTTTTGGTTGTCCCAAAAATTTTGTCACTTTCCATTTTAGTTAATCAATTTGTGGCTCTTGTTATTTCTCTCTCCTCTGCACAAATATCTACCACACAGTTTTTACTTTATTATTCTACGTGACAGTCAAACTTGGCAAACCTTTAAGGGACGGAGGGAGTAGTAAATAATTGCAACGATCAACTTTTCACGTTCGTCAATACACAACTTTGACCATTGGTATATTTGTTGGGTAAATGGCCCAACGCGTAGTAGACCCACGTACCCTAGCGGGCCAACGAGCCCAACAGCTTGATAAGGGCCCAGGCTCAAGCGGCACTGGCCGGACGGCGTGGACTGAGCGGCATCGGCTCCTTGAGTAATCACCGGATTGCTCTCAGAGAACACCTAGTGTACTCCCTCAAGAGAATTGGCGGGAAACCAATTCAATGCACCAGATATGAAAGATTTTATGACTGCAACTTGTATTCAATAACTTAGCTTCTCTCTAGCTCTTCTATTTCACTCAAGTGTAGAATAGAGGGTTGGAGCGCGGCGCGGTAAGAGTGCTGTTATCGCTCTAAGTCTTAAATAGAACATAACCAACTTTACATCCTACTCTTCTTGCTATGGTTTTTCCCATCATATTCGCTTGACCTTTACAAAAAAAAAAACCACCGAATGTCCAATGAATGCCCAAAACAACCCACCGAATGTAAAATTGAATATGTTGCATTTATTTAAAAACATTTAAAACTTGTATAGAAAGCATTTTCGAGAGAATAAACTCTCTTCGTCTCATAAGATTTTTTCAATTTACCATTTTAGGATGCCCGAAAAATTCTTTCCACTTAACGTTTTAAAAAGTTTTATGTGACCAACATTCATTTAAATTTTTTCTTACGCAATCACAACTATATATTTTCACTTTATTTTGACTTTTTTTTTGATTGTTTGACTTTCTTTATAATAAGCATGTTAAGTCAAAATACAAATTATTTTTTGGAAGGGAGTAATTAACTAATTAACAAAAGCGCGCCCATAGGAGAGATAATCTTTTTTATTTTTGTTCCGGGTATCTTTTCCAACAGGTCATTATTATGGGGGATTAATAAATACAGTACAATATACGATGAGCAATACAGCACTTCCCTCAGTTCTTGTGCTCAGTCCCTCGTTTGTTCAGCAGACATAAGCAGGGACCGTCCCTACCCCTCAAAATACAGTATTTGTAACCCACCAGCAAAGATGTTTACTGTGATATGTACCCACCGCCTCTTTTAATATCCCCCACCCCCCTCTCTTCTGAAAGACATCAACTTTTTGAGACTATCTTCTCTCTCTCTACCTAGATTTCTCTGGCTTCAGTTGAGTCACATTTTGCCTCTGTTCTCTGCTAGGAACAAAAGAAAAACAAAAAAAAATGACAAATAATTATGAATGAAATTCATTAGGCCCCTTTATCTTTATGTTTGTGGGTTTCCCCACTTTTTTTTATGTGAATTAAACGTTGACAAACTTCATATCTCAATGCGCTTTTAGCTCTTTAGTGCCTCTCCCAGATCTACCTCCACCCAACCTCAAAGTCTAATTTCTTTTTTTCTCTAGTAGTTTTTGGACTGAACAAAAAATGAGCAAGGAAGAGTTCTTGAAGATCCAGGTAACCCATATATGTTTTTTTTATCTTTTCATTTCAGCTGATTTTTCTGCCTGTTTGTGAAGATTTTGTGTGTATGTAGTTCGAGGTAGGCTGATGGATATATGTTTTATATTCTTGAATTTGTTTAATAATTTTTCATTAGTTCATTTATGCCATTCCTGTATTTATTTATTTATTTATTTATTTATTTATTTATTTATTTATTTATTTATTTATTTATTTATTTATTTATTTATGTATTTATTTATTTATTTATTTTGTGTTTGGATTCCCGAGCTACCTAAATTGTTAACTGTGGTTTAATTTTGCCGGCTGAATTTTCTTGTAAATGCAGACTTGTGTTCTAAAAGTAAATATACACTGTGAAGGCTGTAAGAATAAAGTGAAGAAAATCTTGCAGAGGATTGAAGGTATATTCTTATATCAAGACTCATACAAGTATATGATAAATTAATATTCCCTATTATATTTACTCAAATTAGCAATTTTATGAGTATTTTTGTCGTTTTTTTTGCTTGTAACTTTGAATCAAAATTAGTTTTCTTGATGTCTGAGTTAACTGTTAAAAAAAGACTGAAATGTGAAGGTTTTTGTTCTGAAAATTCGGGTGTATGTTTATGTTCTGCTACAGGGGTTTATACTATAGGTATCGAATCAGAATCGGGCAAGGTCACAGTTTCTGGAAATGTAGACCCTTCTACTCTGATCAATAAACTGAGGAAGAAGGGCAAGCACGCGGAGTTATGGGTTAGCCCAAAGGCGAAAAACAATCCTAATCAGTTCCTCGATCAGTTCAAGAATATGCAAATCGGCAATAACAGTAAAGGTGGGAATGACAAGGGGAAGGGCGTAAAAGGGAATAATGACATCAACAATCAGATGCAGATCAAAGGTGGAAATCTTGGAATGCCAAATCCCCAGCAGCTTCAGCAGCTGAAGGCTCTTCAAGATTTAAAGATGCATCCCCAATTCAAGGACATGAAGATGCCCATGAATGCGGGTGGTGGTGGATTTGGCGGTGGTGGTAGTAATGGAGGCAACAACCCCAAGAATATCAAGTTTGACACGCCTGATGAGGATGATGATTTTACGGATGATGATGACTATGATGACGATGATGACTATGATGATGATGAAGAAGATGATGAAGATGATGATGACGATTTTGAAGAAAAAATGGATAACATGCCTCCCAATAAGATGAAGCTTACAATGGATAACAGCGGTGGCAGTGGTGGTGGTGGTGGTCAAATGCCAAAAATGATGCAATTCATGAATGGGAGGAAAGATGGAGGTGGTGGTGGAATGATGCCTCAGATGGGCATGGGAGGAGGTGGCAACAAGGGTGGCAATGGTTTCCCGCTATCCAATCATAGCGGGAAGAATATTATTGGTGGGCATCATCAAGAAGTAAAGAATGCAGATGGTCAGAATAAGAGCACTAATGGTGGCCATGCTAGCAGTAATGGTGGAGGTAATAAGGGAAATGGAAATAAGGATGGACCTCCAAGCATGCAAGAGTTGATGGCAATGAAAGCCCGTTTTCCTAACATGGGGCCAATGGGGAACAACAACATGTCGATGGGCCGAACGGGTCATAGCATGGGCGATATGAGTAATAATCTCCAAATGGGCCGATACCCGGCAGTCCAAGGCTTACCTGCACCTGGTATGAACTCTGCCAGCAGCAATAATGGGGGTTACTATCAGGCAGCCAGGCCCGAGATTTTGGCGGGGAACCCCTACCAACAACCGCAAATGCCCGCGATGATGATGAACCAGCAGCTGGAGCACCAGCAGATGATGTACCACCCTCCACAGCCACAACCAATGAACTACATGCACCACCAGCCTTACCCATACCATCCCTACCCCCCACCTCCAATAAGTACCAACTATGGCTCAACTTCGTCCGTCAACGATGATGAGAGCCCTTCAGCTTGTATAGTTATGTGATCAAGTCCCCGCCAAAATTAGCTGCTAAGGTGCTGGAGGATGGTTATATTGGCTGAAGTGGCAGTGTGACAAATAGTTCAACTACTTGCTAATCTGTTGATCTGCCATAATACACAAGCCAAAGATATGAATATAGTGTTCCATTTGCTGCTTAGTTTTCTCTTTCGTTCCTATTTCCTTTCCCTAAAAGTCCCTTTCAATATCAGTATATAGAGTTCAAGTTTAGAGGCATTTGATAGGTATATGTAAGTGGGAGATGTTTGTACATGTAACTTGGAAACCATATAATTATAGAAATAAATATTTGCTGGAGGTTTCACTAAAACATAGTTAGTGAATTTCACTTTATCTCATACTTGACTATCACACCATGTTCAATTTCTATAGAGGATTATTAATGTTATTTTCTTTCCAGAAATAATTCATGTGTAGGCCTTCTTTTGTTATAAAAGTACAAATTAACATGTAAGTAATTTGACTTCTCCGCTAATGAGTCTTGATAAGATATCAAAACTGATTAAATTTAAGTCAGCAGTTGGCTGATTAAGACTTAAAAACACACGAATTTCAAGATTATGATGTTTCAACATGTCACTGTTTTGAAGGGTATGTTAAGCCTATATTGGGCTGTAAAGTGTTTATATGAGATAAAAAGCAATGACCAATGAAGATGGGGTTTTACTTTGTTTTAGTGTGAAGAAGGGTAGTTTTGTTATACGGAGTATTACTTATACTATGCTCTTTGTTCCAAAAGGTAGAATCTCCCACCCCAGGAGCCCCCACCCCGACCCGACAGAATGGTGGGGAGGTTAGTCACGGTGACTCAGTCAGCAGAATGGCAGTAGGCCATACACCCGTGCGCACCAGAGGCTCAGCCTTATTTCAGGTTCTGTGACCTCCACCCGATTAGTGCGGGGATTCGAACCTTGGTCCATTGTTCCAAATCTCCCACCACTCGACCAACTGAGCTACCCGTGCGGGTTTACTTATACTATGATTACTATCCTCAGTTCCATAAAACGCGTCATAATACTTGGGTTTACAAAATGTTGCACCTTAGCAGCTAATTTTGCAACCTTAGCGCCACAGCGGAGTACAATACTTGGGTTTAAAAATGCATCAATCCATGTTATAATTATTCATGCGTAAAATCCCTTCAACAAATTTAATTGTCAAATAAATGAAAAATGATTAGTACTTTTTCATAATTTAGACATCTTAACAAAGTTACTTGCATATTCAATCATATTGTTAAGACAAATGATTTAAAATTTATAAAATTTGTTCGTGAAGACGATTTTGCACATGAATGATTATAAAACAAGGGGTTTGATGCATTTTTTTATTTCACAGAAGGCTAATGCGACGAATGTAAATATCATAAACGAGTTAAGTGCATTAACTAAACCCCAAAAAATATAAAATGATCAGAAATCCATATCTAACAATTACCCGTATTTATTTACCTATTTGCACATTCCATCATCTAACAGTACACGATTTGATTGTACCTACTATGCGTATCTCATGACAAGGTACTATAAGTATGAAAATGGACATGATAATAGTTTGTATGGTTCTTAGATTTCAATTTGTTTCACAATATTTAAATATATTTATGCCCGTGTGTTACTGTTTCTAATTATTAGAATAGTTTGTATTCATTTAAATTGGCATAGCAGTATAGCACACACCACTGTTTCTATAATAACATTTCTAAATAAAAAATTCTAATCGGACAATATGCATAAATAAAATTATCATTGTTTTTTCTTAGAGTAAGAGTCGTTTACTTTTACTCAAGGAAGTTTTCTTTAATAGAATAGAAATTGCCCAATATATGAGTAAACATAAACATAATTGCACAAATAGGAGTATACTTAAAACTTCCTTCAATAGGAGTAAACATTAATTTTGTACCATTAATATCTCTAACCTAGTTAATTCTAAAATATGACTTATTTAATCTTAACCTAGTTAATTTATGACTTATTCGATAATAATAATTTATTTATTTATTTTTCAAAAAATTAAAAAAAAAAATATTTTTTTAAAATCAAAAAAATAAAATAAAATTCACCACTGCCTCTGCACCACCACCTCTAGTCACCAGGGAAAAAATGCCAAGTTCATTACGAATGCCATATTAATGGCAGAAAATAATGAAAATGTTGGCATTCGCAAAGAGAAATATGTCATGTTTTTGGCATTTTCTGGAAAAAATGACAGTTTTTAGGAAAAATGGATTTTTTTCACCGCCTGGAGGTGGTGGTGCAGGAAGGTAGTACAGGCGGTGGGAAAGACATCCATATATTTTTTAATTTTTTTATGGAGTTTTACTATTTTTTATTAATTTTTAAAAAAACTAAAAATTTAAAAAAAAAATTTAAAAAAATTATTGTATTAATACTTTATAATTTTTTTAATTATTTTTCTACGAATTTTTGATTTTTTTTTGAATTTATTATAAATTAAACATTTAATTAAAAGTTGTTGGGGCTTAGGACTTAGGTAGGGGTATACTTGTCTAAACACTAAAGTTACTGCTATTCAAAACATGATACTCCTATTTTTGCATTTTGCTTATGTTTTGCTCCTATTTGGGGAATTCTCTCTTAATAGAACCAAATAAATTCTATTCTAGCATTTTCTTTGGAGCAATATTTTATAATAATTCTGTATAGTAGTTGAAACACAAACAAATGATCAAATAATGACATAAACAAATGAAATGCATTTAAAAATTGTCACCCTTATTTATTGGTGAGATACTCTAGCATTCACAAAAATAGAACATACTTCGTATAATTTATGCTAAGAATTCGTATGTTTTTAGTTTATCTGTCTTATCAACCAAAGTATGTTTTTTATTGTACACACGTAATATTTTTTGTTTTGAGCTCTAAATTTTGTAACAATCCAAAGTATTTTCAAATACTTTTTTATGATTCAATAAATTTAGTAAATTGAATCATTTTAACCAAAATTTCATGAATTTAAATGTTAACTCCTCCATATTGACGTAAAGTTATTCTGGTCGCACATTTTCTACCCTTTGGATTGACGGACACAGTTATCTTTCCGATTTAAAAGAACAAATAAATACGGAGTACTTTAAGAATAATAAATATGGAGTACCTTTTTGTTATATTATACGTAGAGAACTTTGGTCAAACTTTCTTTGAAATTACACTCAAATATCTTCATCATATTTATATTACGTACAAGGTATCGCTGTTGTACTTTTTTACTTTTTCCTCAAAAAGTAAGTTTACCTAAAAAAAGAACACCAATTAGTTAAACCCCGGTTCTTATCTAATCATTATTTTATACATATTTTGTCTCTTTAAACCCTAACTCGTATGATGATGTAGAAATTTGTAGCAAGCATACACAGTCACATGTAATGCATTTTGCATTATTATATTGTCCACAATGAGACCAAATAATGGAGCTTATTATGGTGGGGCCACATGCTACATATGCTTCTTCATTATGGTAATTTCTGTGAAACATGACTGGACCCACCACAGCTCTACCATTATCGCTTAGCAAACCTTCCAAATTATTGCTAAGATAATTAAATTAATAAGGAACGTTTGGAAGGCGTAATACAAGTTTGTGATTTAAAAAATGCGCAAAATCCCTTTTATGAACAATTTAATTGTCAAATAAATGAAACATGATTAATTTTTTGTATAGTTTAGAAATTTTGACAAAGTTACTTACGTATTCAATCATATTATTAAGAAAATTGATTTCAAAATTGTAAAATTTATTCTTGAAGGGGATCTTGCGCATGAATAATTAAAACACAAGAGGGTTTGACGCAATTTTTAGATCACAGAGGGCTAATGCGTTGAATTTATATATCATGAGAAAGTTTGGTGCAGTTTATACCCTGCAACCGGCCTCATGGTGCGCCCGGTTGCAAAATGACGCATGTGGATCGTTGCGCTTACCGCTACACTAAAAGCAATCGCTGATAGTGAAGCACGCTCCTCTCCCTTTATAGCACAAGCGAAGCGCCAAGCGGTCCGATTGCACCGGTAGGCTGGCACCGCATACCCGCCGGCCCAACAATCTCCCCCCCAGCACCTGCCAGCCTACAACTACGCAACATGCTGTCGTCGGGGGTTGAACCTGTGACCTTGGCTCTGATACCACTTGTGGATCGTTGCGCTTACCGCTACACTAAAAGCAATCACTGATAGTGAAGCACGCTCCTCCCCCTTTATAGCACAAGCGAAACGCCACGTGGTCCGATTACACCGGCAGGCTGGCTGTTGCTGGCCCAACAACGCAGTTTATACATATTTTTTATTTCTTTTATTGTTAGAAATTGTAATAACTTTTTTATTTGATATCTGATTTTTATAAATTTTATATCAATTTTTTTTTTTATTTTTCATGATCTATCAAATGAGACCAATATTGCTTATGTAATTTTAACAAATTATTTTCAAGTTACATTTGATAATATATCATGAAGTTACATCTTCTTCTGCGCGAGTTACATCTTATTGTACGCGAGTTACATCTTAATATACACGAGTTACATCTTAATGTATGTGAGTTACACCACGAAATAAACCCCTACTACATCTTTCATTTTTATCATTTGAATCATAGTGTATGAATATGAAATACAATATACTTATTTTATGTGGATTAATAAAATTTTGTATTAAATTGGCAAAGAAAAAAAAATAATTCAGTTATAATTGAATTAGTTCAAGATAAAGATAAGTAAAAAATCACAAATAATTAGACATAACTCACACATAATTACATGTAACTCGCGCATAAAAGTATGTAACTCGTGTATAACAAGATGTATCTCACACATAACAAGATGTATCTCACACATAATTACATGTAACTCGTGTATAACAAGATGTAACTCACACATAACAAGATGTAACTCCCACATAATAACTTGTAACTGGAGTATAAGATGATGTAACTTCGTATATTATCAAATGTAACTCCAAGCTAGAAGCAAAATAAACAAACTCAATATCTTAAAAACCTCTAAAAACATATAAAAGTGATAAAAAATATATTATAGAAAAAGTGTATGCATATAAAAATATACGGAGTCTTACAAAAAAATGTATGAATGTAAAAAATTAAAATTACATAGGCAATATTGGTCTCATTTGAAAGATCATGAAAAATAAAAAATTTTGATATAAATTTTATAAAAATCGGATCAAAAATAAAAAACATTATTAACAATTTTAAGAAAAGGAGAAATAAAAAATAACAAATGATGCATGTTACTCATTCCACGGTGTAAGCAATGAGTAACTACAAAATAGAGATAATAACATGATCTGGGTCTCAGCCTTGCTGTCAATTTTAGCAAATCGATCAAAAAAATCAAATGCATGAGTCTATTTTAAACCCTGATGCACAACTTTTTCCATAATTTCCGAACATATATATGAACAAAAGCGGGAGTAAAGTTATCAATATAGCCACTTCGTTTCTTTCAAAAATATAGCCACTTCACACTTTCTTTAAGTATCTTTGTTTTAGTAATATACTTCCTCCGTCCTTTAATTAAGTTCCCGATTTGACTTCACATGTATTAAGAAAATAAATTTAACTTTATTGTGGAGTGCACTGTTTTGCACTGTTCAAACACTGTTTGACACTGTTTTGCACTATTTGACACTTTTTTGATGTAGATAATTTGCCAAATAAGGAAAGTAAGAAAGTGTGAACTTAATTTAGGAACTGCTCAAAAAGGAAAGTGGTAACTTAATTGGGGGACGGAGGGAGTATAACCGTATATAAGTCATTATTTCATACGATAGTACTTCGTAAAACGTAAGATGGTCCCGGGTTCGAATCCCGGCAACTGCGATGAGAGGTTACTATGCTAAAAATGCATAGGGCATCTGCAAGTACCGGGGACAGAGCCACACTCTCTATCTGTCAGATTGGGATTATAGTCCAATTTACATCCTCCCAACGTATCGTCCGATCGGGGTTGAGAGGCCCTCAGGGATGGTGTGTCATCCTTTTTTTTCCGTAAAACGTAAGATGGAAGCTATTTCTCATGGCAGTCAAATCACACATTTCTCTTGTTTGAGATGTACTAGTGTTTCAAGAGAATTGGAGAGGTCAATGTTCGAGAAACTTTTCTAAACGCAGAAGATTTCTTTCTTGTCTTAACTTTCAACCATTGAGGATGGATTTGTAACCAAAGGCGTAACTAGGGAGGGACTAACCTTTTCCCGGCTTAGCCTAAATTTAAAAAATATCTGTAGTTTTAATATAAAAAATATCGTGTAAAATATTTTCAAAAAATATTCTTTGTACTGATCCAGTGCTCTGGCTCCGCCTTTGTTTGTAAATTGTGGGCCTAGTATGGACTATGTCCGTAACAGCATTAGAAGCAACGGAGGAGGTGGGGGTCTTCTCTTCATCTAGTTTGGGCTGAAGCCTCGTTACTTCTTCGATACCGAAATAAGTGAATTAGCCTCTTTGTTTTTGAATGAAAATCTGCAAACTTTATTAACTCAAAATATCGTTAGCCAAATGGCTATGAATACAACTAGGAGCTGAATAAAAGTAAAAACTACGTACCATCTGTCATGGAAAGGGCACCTGTAGCAGGAGTGTGAGCAATCCGATTAGCGGACCGTTTGCAATGAATAACTTACACTCTAGCCTCACATTGAAGCAATAGCTAATATCCTCCACCGTTGTTGATTATTTAGTTTAGTTGATGACTAATCTTAAACAGAAATGAACACTATCCCTGGGTCCAAAAACAATGATAGAACTGAACAAGTTATTTGACTAACCATGCAGGTGGACCCTTTGGATACGTGAACTTTGTTTTGTTTGATATAAATGATTGTCATGCTTGATACGTGATTTAATTGATATATGCCTGTCTGACAATACCTCATCTAAATTACTTTACATGTGGCACATCTCTCATACATGACTAAGCATTTACTTTAATGACTTAACATATATATGTGTTACTTAAATAAATACCTTGCCACTTTAATGGTAATTGACCGTAACCTTTTATATATGCAAAAAGAACAAGTTATCTTTCCATAAAGGTCAACCAAAATCTCTTTTGGTAAGAATATTATCGTAGCATAACTTAACTACATATCTTATTGCTACTTAATATCCATTGCATATTTACATGATAAGTGAATTTGTGCTTCCTTATATAATGGTGTGTAAATCATGAGTTGATTTACTCTTGATTGAACGAATAAGTGAGAAACTACTGGAAGGAAAGTAATTCAAAAATATCAAGGAAAGTCTACCAAGCTTCCAAAGGAAAGGAGAATCCACAAACATCTTCCAGGATAGATATATAGTCGAAGACCAAAAGAAGAGGGGTGTACTTGACCGAGCAATTACAGAGAGAAATACTTATAAAGAATTATCAAGACCAAAGCACTTGGACATGCTCACGAAGTTCTAGATATAACTTCATTTCCCCTCTTTACCTTGTAACCAGATTTTGAGGAAAAGCTAAAGTGTAGCTTTCTCAGGTTGGGGTCATGTGTGTGAGAGCTTTGTTGTAAAGCTGAGAGGCTCTCTACCCGCAAGGTAGAGATGCATAACTCTTCCTAGAGAGGATAGAATTGGGGCGGCTCAAGGGTAGATTAGGAGAATTTACCGTGTATCCACAAAAGGCTTTTTAGTGAAGTTATTTAAAATTCCTCCGAGGAAGGTTGAAGTTTTTTAATCCATTTGAGTCAAAGAATTTTTCTTGGTTAAATCCTTGTGCACTTTATTATTTCGCAATTCCCTGAACCCCACACTAGAACTGTGCGAAAAACTGCCACGATTCCACACACACAATTCACCCCTCCTCTTGTGTTGCTAACCGTTTCATCACCGTCAATGTTGCTGCACCAGCAAGAACCTCATGGGAGCCATCAAGACTAACTCCTTTCCATACCACACCATTTCTTAATTTCCAAATGCTCCAAAGAATGTACACAAAGCTTCCTCTGCTGCAGCCTCAAATACTAGCAAAACTCAAAACCTGACTGGTGAGTGGTGATGGAATTTATTTCCCAGCTTGCACCAAACTTTTGAGACAAACCTGCAGTCTCTAAATATGTGCAACGATGTTTCGACTTCCTCATTGCAGAAACGACATTCGACCGGGATATCCACTCGTCTTTTTCTTAGATTTACTGCACATCGATCATAACTTGCCAGAAAAAATGCTTAATCTTTAGTGGGATGAAGAAACCCCATAGTAGTCCATCCCGACCAACTCACCGTTAAGCACTCCCCTTTGAGGATCCTATAGTCACTCTTCATAGTGTATACTCCTTGAGCCTCACCGTTCCGCCCAGTGGCGTATCTAGAATAATTCGTAGTTGTGGGGCGAATTTACCTTAAATATTATCCCGCGTTGTCATTGACTAATCACATTAACAAAAAATATTGTAAACGTTAACAACAGAATATTCACTGAACAAAATCAATATCACACTTACAAAATCACAATAAATAAATTTTAATCACATGATGTTTGTAATTTGTTCAAAATTATGTTAATAAATAAACAAATGGAATACAGTAATTGAAAAATTAACTATGTACTAAAAGTTAATTTAAATTTCGAATTCACAAGTACATTAACAAAACCAATTTATATTATGTACAAAAAAATAATACGTAATTGTTAAAGTTGTAAGACAAAAATTAAATGGAAACATGTAGTGACTTCAAATGGTTTATGCTTCAAAAGAGCAAAAAGAACAAAATTGAGAAAAACCTGAGGGCAACTTTACACCCACGACCTTAAAGCAAAACAAGAGCACATCCGAAACTTTTTGGCCGGTGTGCTGTGTGGAGAAGTTTGATCACTCTACACATCATGTATTTTTAGAATATGACCTTCCACCATTTTATTCATATATTTTTATTGGATGATTCAAATCCAGTTTTGCAAGTTGTGTTGGATAGAAGACTTCATTAGCTACAACTTTGATGAAGGACGAATAGTCAAAAGTGAACTATAAAGCTGATTTCTGCTTGCCGTTGCCGCTTGGTGTATTGGCGGTCTGCGAATAACACCTAATACTAATACCGGAGTAGAATTTTTTGGAGGTTCCCTTGGTAGTTGAGGCCCAAGGCAGTTGCCTGGCCCAACTACCCTCAAAGCCGCCCCTGCCTGGTTCCACCAATAGCTAATCAGTGGACACTGGTGTCTCTCTAACTAATACGAATGCTAAGAACGACAGTCCTTTGGCGAAGCAGCTCCCTAAAAAACGAAGGGTACCGACCTTTCGCTACGAGCGATTTTTTTCTAGGGTTTTGCCAACTCAAGCAATGCCTAGTTTTTTATCCGGCGGTGCTTCGCTCAGGCGAGTACGACGCTGAGAAGGTCTTTGTTATTGGTTGCAGGAGGAGATCACAAGGAGGATTTTGGCAAGATAATTTTCTTTTTCCCTAATATACTCTTCATTGAGTCAATGAACATCTTATCGTGGAATTGTAGAGGACTCTACAAGAAGATGATGATTGAGGCAATATAATTTTCTTTTTCATATGTTAGCACTAATTTAACTAATGCGTAGCAAATTCTTGTTTAACTAATATCATTAATTTTAATATTTATTGTATTTACTTAAATTTTTGACACTCACTTAGTGTACTTTCTTTTTTAGAATAATATTTAATTTTAAAATTAACTTAATCATGAAAATTAATAAGTAACAAAGTTTGATGAGTGATGTCAATTAATTTTCCCTAATATACTCTTCATTGAATATTTATTATATGAGCTTATATTTTATGTTATTAGCTCATTGTTTTCTTATTTTTTGAAAAATGTAGAATCCTAAAAAGTTGTTTTTATTTTAATATTTAATTAGATCATGAGTACAAATATATGCACCAACCGTTCTTTTACGTGCGTATGCACCGATACTATACTAGTATCCGCCCCAACCGGCTTTTCTTATACCTTTTGCCCCCCTAAATACCTCTGTCAAGTGTCAATATGAGAAGTTGAGATATACGGAGTACTCCGTATATGGAGCATGCTACCCTGATGAAAGTGAATTTTGACCATTTATGAAGCCGTCCTCTTCAAACTAAATTTAGGGGTGTTTGGAACTGATTCTGTCTCTGCTTCTTTTTTTAAAGTAGATGCAGAATCTGAATCAGTTTTCAGAAACTGATACCCTCTAGCTTCTAAAAAAACTGATTCTAGGAGTAAATTAGAGTATCAGGATCACTTCTTCATTTTCACCCAAACACTTCAACTTCTGTTTCTGCTCCGCGGAAGAAGCAGAAACGAGTTTTAAGAATCAGATCCAAACACCTGGTCGAAGGAGCCTAAGCATTTTTACAAGTTTAGGAGAAAATCTGCGTGACAGGGTGAAACCCGCTTCACACCATTCGTAGACGGTAGACCTGTCGAGATGCTTCGGAATTGGGATGAACAGAACTAAGTAGATACTTATTACAAGTGATTTTTTCCCAAGCAAGGGGATAGTGGCACGACTCCAATGGATAGTCGCAGTACTGAAAATGCTTTTCGCAAACTTTTTGCTCGCTGGAACAAAGTTACCGGCTCAAACTTGTAGATGCTTGACCCCACTTGCCTGCAGATAGCCAGACACTAGAAAAGCTGCTACCCTGGAACTGTGTCTATATGGAGTAATGACTATGAAGGTATCGATTCTCTAACGAATACTCCCTTTTCTATTGTTCCCTTTTCAGAATCATAGCCCAATTACAATCTTCACCCGGGTCATGGATTCGGAACAGAATTCTTATTTCATTATTCAATACCAGTAGTTATTGATGTGTTTGTTTAGTGTCAATTGAAATTGTTAATGAGAACCTGGAAGTTTATGGTTTTATTGACTAACTGAACAAGCTATTATGGATATTTTTCTAGCTACACGTATGAAATAATCTAATCATCAATGCCAGGAGAGTTTAATCCATTTCGGAAATAAGAAACCAAATCTTCAAATGCTGCTAAAATGAATTCAGTTGTTGGGCCATGTATTACTTAGATTGGAATTTTTATATGTTCTCAAACAGTTGGGAATGTGGTTACTAGTTATACTACTACTTACTAGTTTAGTCTCCGTTTGGTAGATGAAAATTATTTTCTTGAATGCATTTTTCATAGAGAGAACATTAAAGGAAATAGTAAAACATTGAATGACATTGCTGTTATTAAATGTTTTCAGGGTCAAGTTGAGGTACTATACTTATGATAAGTCTGAAAGCATTGATCACCCTCTTGGTATTTCATGGCTTGTTTCCCTGTCGCACTGTTGAACTCCTTTTCATGGACTGCCAGACTATATTACCCACATCGCTTATACCCAAACCAGCCCAATCACACTCGTGCTATCTGTACTAATAGGATGGTTCAATCCACGTGTCAGCCCACACTGCTCAGAGCTTCACTGAGCTCTTCCAATATTGAGATTGAAACGGCAAAAAGGAAAACTGTTTCCACGCTCCAAGAACTCTGCCAAGGCCATGTGCCTGAACACATCATACACAGGTGATCGTGCTTTGTTTGAAGTTTAGAAATTTAAATGGCTATTAGAGAATACAGTTCGGAGATTGACTAAAAAAATTAATTTATACGGAGTATTTCATACGGAGTAATATACTCTAGATCATGTCTACCACAAGTTAAAAGATGCAACCTTTGTAATTTTTTGGGGAGATGGACCTGTGATTGCCTTCTTTTTCAATCTCTGGATTTAAATAACGCAAAAGATTGCCAAAGTTGTGTATAATCATTTAATTTGAATATTGTTTAATGAGATTTTTTTAAAAAAATGGGTTTGCGGAGTTGCTGTTATCTGAAAGTAGTGATTAAGGGTGCAGAAAATTGCAGAATGGAAGAGGTTGGGTATGTTGAGCCAACCGAAGTGCAGAAGGAAGCATTGCCCATTCTCTTTGCTGGCTGTGATTGTGTGCTTCAAGCGCAGGTTTATGTGCTTTTATGGACCATTGTACATATAGATTAATTGTTGGGTGTTTTGAGAGTTAGGCTTATAAATATGTCTTGAGGGGCTTTATAAAAAAGTTAACTTTTCTTTATAATAGTATACTGTGTTTTGTTTTGCAGACCTTTTATTTTAGGAAGAGTATATCATTCCGGGGTAATGGTTACAGAAATTTTTTCATGACTAAGCATGATAGGTTTTAGTAATTTTCTGCGTGCCTAATGTTTTATGTTTATGCATACGTTTGGGCTTGTATATTAGATGATGAAGCTTATGAAATCATTATACTATATCCCACTTTTATTCTTAGACAGGTTCTGGTAAAACGTTGGCTTACCTACTGCGAATATTCTCTGCCATCAACACTCAAAGGTCTGCAATACAGGCTCTGATTGTGGTTCCCACTAGGGAGCTTGGTATCCAGGTAGATCCATGGTTATTGTTTCTTAACTGATTTCATTTGTATTACCTAGTAGTAGTTCAGTGACCTTAGCCTATGACTCCATATGAGAGGTCTCAGGTTCAATGCCCAATTTTTATGTAAGAAAGGACTTTTAGTGTATGCTATACTAGTGGTAATTGATGCTGCCCATTGCCCTTTTTATGACAAGGTTACAAAAGTTGCCAGGCTGCTGGCCACAAAGCCAGAAGAACTAAACTGTGATCAAAAGTGGTTTACTATTATGGCTCTTTTGGATGGAGGAAGCTTGAGGCGACATGAGAGTTGGTTAAAAGTATTGGAAAATGCTTTGCTGCTTAAATTAATTTTCTCCGCTGATGTGAAAGAATTCGAATAACTTTACCTTTGTAGACTTACTATTACAATTTTCATTATCCCAGGCAGAGCCTCCTACAATTGTGATTGCAACTTTGGGAAGTCTAACTCAAATGCTTGAGAGGCATGTATTAACGTTAAATGCTATGCATGTTCTTGTAGTTGATGAGGTAATGAAGATATTGAAAATTTAGATCTTGCTCTGTTTCTCATATCTAAATATCTAGTTCTTCCTCATGTAAAGATGGGATTCTTCTGTGTCGATTGCTGAATATTTTTTCCCTAGAAGAATGATATTGTAAATTGTAATGTGGTAGTTTCTTGAAACTGTTCAATGATTACTTACAGGGTTAGACTCCGTATCTTCTTTGAGCTTCTACACAGAAGACATTTCTGGGATTGCCTTGTTTTTCTCCATGTGATATTTTATTTTTTTGTTTAAGTAGTTAACTGTCGCTCCCTCCGTCCCACTATCTTTGTTTTATCCATTCTGTTTTGTGAGTCCTGCTAAGTTTGTTCCATTTATATTTGGTAATATTTTGTATAGTTATAATTCATTCTTACTTTATTGATACTTTACAAAATCAATGTCAATCACATAATTCCACTTTTTTTAATCATTGTAGGACGGAGGTAGTATTTTAAACAAGTCACTTATTTTTCATTGAAATGCTTGTCCATTATTATGCTTCCTATTTAGCCGAATTGTGAATTAAAGAATACAATGACTGCTCTTTGATAGTGTGTATTTTAAATGACACGACCAGTTATCTGTTTAAGGTTGACTTCATGTTCAATTCCTCAAAACATGTAACTGCTCTACGGAAGCTTTTGACATCATACTCTAGTAGCACATATCGTCAAACAATCTTTGCTAGTGCGACAATTCCTCAACATAGGCGATTTTTATATGATGCTGTACAACAGAAATGGACAAAGGTTTGCTATAGCAGTATTGACATGTTCAGATATGCTTTCTGGTGCTCAGTGTAGGATCCGCATACTTATTTTAGTGCATTTGACAGGCAGGCGTGGTTCATATATATCTGAATCCAGTTATGCCAATGTCGTCCTGTCTGCATCATAGATTTCTGGTGAGTGAATAGAGAAACTCTATTTGTTTCTTTTATGTGTCTCCACTCTCCATTCAATTTGCAGAAGTTGGCTGCTTTGATATTGTGGTTTAATCTTCAAATTTTCAGTTAATCTTTCTTTATAGTTGATCCCAAACAAGCATATGTCATGCCAGTTATCCATTTGTAGTTATGCCAGTTCTGGAGTGGTTTACTTTCACTTTGACACTTTGTCGCTCACTTTGTGTTGCTCTTCTGGGGTCAGGTATGCAGTAAAGGTGAAAGGTATGAGGCATTGCTTTCCCTTTTAAAGTCAGATGAACCTCATTCAGCAATTGTCTTTGTTGGTGTGCAAGTAAGTATCTATGACTATCTAGTCTCCATATGATGTTTTCTGTGTTAGACCTCTTCCTCCGCATTGTTACTGGCTTTTATCACAAAAACAGTCTGAGAAGTCGAAAAAAGCGGGAAATGCCTCTCCAACTCATTTGGTCAGTTTTTTAGAAAGTTCTTTGACGGGGTTTTCTAAAATCAGTCTACTGGAGGAAGACATGAATTTCAATCAACGAGCAGCATCCTTGATTGTAAGTACAGCTGTCAAACATAAATTGGTTAGGCTATGTTTGCATCCCAGAAAATGGTAGGGAAAGGAAAGACAATGCTAACAAAAGGTGTTTTCCTATGTTTGGATTTCTCGGTAAAGCAAAGGAAAATGAAAAAAATACTAGTTTTTAAAAAACATTGGGAAAATAGAAACTAATAATCCAACCTTTTAGCGGTATTCTTACAATAATCTCACCTTTTGATTATTGAGGAATAATCCAACCTTTGCACCCCATCTTCATTCAATGGTCCCTGACCGGTTGATGACCTTCAATTCCAAGTTATTTTCTTATCTTTGCAAAACATTATGTGACCATAAGGTGAAATTTATGGTATAATATATTGCAGAGATAAGAAAATAACTTGGAATTGCAGGTCATCAACCGGTCATGGAACATTGAATGAAGATGGGGCGCAAAGGTGGGACTCTTGTAAGAAGACCGCTAAAAGGTTGGATCATTAGTTTCCATTTTCCCAAAAACATTTGCATGTGTTTAGATTGGTTAATATATATATATATATATATATATATATATATATATATATATATAACACAGACAAACAGATAAATAAAGAAGTAAAAGTCAATCCAGACAATATTATAAATAAGTCTATTGAGTTTGAATCAATATTTGATTTTCCTCATCATTTTCTTCTTGTGCAATATTTTCCTCCCTATTTTCTTTCCTTAGCATTTTCCACGTCCAAAACAGACCCTTAGTCTTAGCTGGTGACAAAAGAAGTATGAACTTCGATCGGCACTCCTGATTTTGCTATATGCTTGGCATGTTGCTTGGAACTAGGAACTGCGACAAGGAGGTGGTTATCTTTTAGTGGCAACAGATATAGCAGCCAGAGGTGTCGATCTACCAGAGACAACTCATATATATAATTTTGATCTGCCAAAGGATGCAGCAAGTTACCTTCATCGAGCTGGAAGGACTTGCAGGAAACCTTTTTCAGATAATAAGTGCTATGCTACCAGTATTATAACACCAGGGGAACAGTTTGTTTTGCGAAGATTTGAAAACGAGTTAATGTTTACTTGTGAACAGCTATTGTTACACTCATAAAGTAGTTCATGCTCAACTGATATTGCTTAAGTAAGGCTTTTAAGGGATGCTGATCGTGCATATCATCAGTTATCAAGTCAGTTTTTTGTTCCAGCCGTGTAATCAAATACTCCGTATGACCATATGAAAATGTCATGAAATTATACTCTCATTTTACCTGTACATTCCCAGCTAACTTTCGGGAAGAAGACATTAACTTCATTTGAAGTTACTGTATTACAGACTGTTCATGGATAGTACTACCTCCGTTCCTATTTTATCTTCCAACCCATTTTGGCACACAATTTAAGAAAAGTGGGTATTGTGTGGTGGAGAGTTGTGCAGATGAGAGAGAAATGTGTAAGAAATGTTGTGAACCACAAATTCTTTACCAAAAAGGGAAAGTGGAAATTTAATTGGAACGGACGAAAAAGGAAAGTTGGAAGTTTATTTAGGAACAGAGGGAGTATATGACAGTAAGGCCTCCACTGAAGTCATAGCTGCATGGTGCTAGAATGCCTGATGAATAGGTTGGAACCGGTCGTACGGTTCCCGGATACACAGGACTGGGACCTTAACGGGTCTGTGTCCACCCCTACATGGAAGTTGGAACAGTGGAGTTTTTAATTCCGTAACATCTCTTTTTTTAAGTCAGCAAAATCAAGTCCTTGTCTCTTAATACGGAGCAGTTCTTTCATGTTCAATAATTTTTGCGGACAAGATTTGTTTCAGTACGAAAGGTTTCTGAAGTGCGTTTAGAGCATTTACAACCGTTGCTGTCTTGTGGAGACCTAAAATGCTGTCATTCACGTGTCCTTTTCGGGCCAATTTGGTTTGGGATAATCTCACATGAAGGTCGGAGTGTGATGCATATAATGTCGGATACTCATGTTTGGTTCACGGATTTGAGAAAAAATCGGAAAAATTACATTCCCGAGAATGTAATATGGAGGGAAATCTTATAACCATCCATGCCTTAGTTTATCTTACATTCCCGGGGATGATCCAATTTTCTTCCGAAAATATCCTCAATTAATATCTCTTTTAATTTAATTTCTTTATATAGTGCGATTTTATAAAACTTTTAATATAGTTTCTAAATATGTAAATTTTAGTTACTAAAAATAATCTTATTATTGAAAGAGATGAGTTAATTTTATGGTCAGTCGATCGTAGATTGTGTGATAATCTTTTAAGTGGGACAAATGGAGTATGTTTATTTAATTATATTTGAATGTCTATTCTTGTTATTTTCATAATTCTTTTTTCCTTAACATTTAAATTTTTTAAGGTATTTATTTTATAAAACTTATAGATTATTTAAGTTTTTGATGAGTGGATTTCAAAATTTGATGGCAAAATTGATCATTTTTTCTTTAATTAGAAAAGAAGTTTTATGAATAACTTAAATATTTTTAAATTTAATTTAGAATATATTTAGATTACTATTTGAACAAAGTTTTTTCACTTTTAAAACAAAGTTTTTTCTTTAATTTTAATTACTTTAGATGTAGGTTGTAATAGATTTATTGCGTTAAGATAAAATATTTAAAGAGCATTGAAGTAATTCACCATATCTGCAATATAAGATACTCCTTACGTCCCGCTAACAATGGGACAAGAGTGAGTGATACGCAAATTAATAAAAAGTGGTTTAAGTGGTTGATATTGAATTGATAAAGTATGAATAAAGTAAGAATGATTTAGAACCACACAAACTTTGCCAAATTTGGTATGAGACAATCTTAGTGGGACGGACTGATAAGTTAAAACGGGACAATCATAGCGGGACGGAGGTAGTATCTTTCAACCAAGTAAATTAATATCACATTCCCTTAATCTTAACCAAATAGAAATGAGAATAAATTGGATACATTCTCATCAATCTAACATATCCATCAATATGACATTCCCGTGGTAATATGACATTTGCCAAATACTGTTCATCTCCAAAGTCCAAATTGGTGAGTCACATTCCTATGTCTTCTGCCCTAGATTCCCAATATTTAATCATTCATTCTTGTTGTACCCACTCTTATACTCGAATTCGTATATGCTACAACCGGTTGTACGGTGCGCACCGTACAGCCGGCCCAATTGTGCTGAATAAAATAGATTTTTGCAGAGGCCCATAACTCAAAGGCCCAAACTTTTGAATTACCCGGTAAAATCAAATTGCTTACAACGAGTAATTTCAAACCATTCTCAAACATTGGAATCTGTTTGTCACGCCCCGGACCGCATCCGAGCCACGTAGACAACCGTCGTACAACCCGATAAGAACAACAACAGTTCATCCCTATTGGATTGTACAAGGCGTCCGATTGATTCTATTGCCAATCCGATTAGTAAACACATACAATCAACATCAATATCATAATCAAACAAATGCAGAAATAATAAAATGTTTGATACTTGCCACACGTGGCAAACACGGGCACGCAGGCCCCCAACTGTTTTAATGAAAATATTGTTCAAAAATCCATGAGCAGTTTATACATTTGAAATATGAATGGAAGCACGAACCACGTCTTCCTTCTCGATCGATCACCCTAGGCAAAGGTGCAGGTAGTAGGACCCTAGCCTCAACCTGAAAAATGTGAGGGCCCCCGGAGGGGTCAGTACTCCATAGAAGTACTAGTGACAAGCAGGCTATATGAAGAATAACTAATGTTTCAGACACGAGACCCAAAAATAGGGTGATACATATATATATGTGACTCATTCATCCGATGATACATACTATATATATATGTAAAATACTCGACCCGTAGGTCATTTCATTCAAAGAGTCTTTTAGAGATAAAGTTCTTACCTGACCTTTCTCACCCTTTTCCCGAATGCCTAGCTCGCTAGCTACATTCTACATTTATAATATCCTACCGAGTTTTGGGAGCACTTAGCATCCCGGGGATACTCAACCCCAACCGAGTTTCAGGATCATTAAATGTTCCGGGGATGCTCAACCCCAACCGAGTTTCAGGATCATTTGCAGTCCCGGGGATGCTCAACCCCAACCGAGTTTCAGGATCATGTATAGTCCCGGGGATGCTCAACCCCAACCGAGTTTCAGAATCATTTAATGTCCCGGGGATGCTCAACCCCAACCGAGTTTCAGGATCATTTATAGTCCCGGGGATGCTCAACCCCAACCGAGTTTCAGGATCATTTGCATGTCCCGGGGATACTCAACCCCAAACTAAATCCTTACCAAACCCTAACCTGGATATGGCTAACCTTTCGTTCCTTCAACTATGGACAATACCTAGCCCTATAGTCATATAACCATCCTTAGGAACCAATGTGGGCGGGTCCCACCTGAACGGCCCACATTAACCCGCTCAAAACTGCCCGTTTCGAGCATAAACCAATACTCGATCGAGTATCTACCCATACTCGGTCGAGTACAGGAGGCGGTAGCCCCCAAAGCTAATTTTCCATGTATACTCGATCGAGTATATACCTATACTCGATCGGGTATAGGAGACAGTAGCCCCCTGGGCAATTTTTCAGCAAATACCCGGTCGGGTATGTGTCAATACCCGGTCGGGTATGGCAGTTGACTTGGCGGTCAACGCCCCTTTTGACCCCCCAAACGGAGTCCGATTAACTTGAAATTTTATACACATATACTTCTTGATGTCCTTGATCCAAAAATACCATTTTGGATCCCTGTATCATCACACAAAATATGTTGCCACATTTTTAATCACCAAACGTACATAACATGCTTTTCAACTATGTTTTATGCAAAATCATGGCATAAGCAAATACTTGATTATCTTTAATCATTCCACAAAACATATCCTTGATTACTTTAGGTAATCTCATGCCTCACGCAAAAGTTATAAAGCATAAAGCCGTCTTCTCACCTTAATGAAGCTTATGAAGTTCTAGCCTTCCCGATTTAGCTCCGGCGAAACTCCGGCGAACTTCAACGAACTCCGGCGACTCTTTCAACTCCGTGAAAGTTCCTTGAATACCTTAGACAAGTTACTAACAAGGTTTTATCATCATAAAACCCATAGTAATACAAATAACCCCCAAAAGGTTATTTTCCGGCGAACCGGTTACTTTGGCTCCTAAGTCCGTTCTTGGACTTAGAACTACCTTCCAACCCCTCTTTCTACACATAACAACGTGTAGAACAATACTAGGGTGTGAAATATGATTGAATAATCATATAAGAGTATTGAAGAACAAGAAATGGGATTAATGGAGTCCTTACCTTGCTAAACACAAGTTTTCCTCTCCAAAACCAACTTTTCCTCTTCTCTTTTCTCCTCCTTCTTCCTCCTTAGCTCCAATGCGTATATGGCAGATGAATATGGAGTATTTCCAGAGCTTAACTCTCTCCTTTGAATGGGTTGGCCGAGCATATGAGTTGTTGGGTGAGGGGATAGCCCTTTTGGCTTATTCACCAATAATATGGGGGGAGGGGGGAGGGACCCCTCTCCATTTATTGGTTTGGCCCCCAACCAGCTCTTGCCCCCTTTCCATCACATTGTGCGGCTCCCCTTGGCTTCCTTGAAGAGATAAAGACGTGGGTTGGCCCCCACTTATGTGGGAGGTCAACCCTTTGTGTACCCAAGTGTACAATCGGTCCCGAAAGTTGTATTTTCCGGACTGTTTTAAGTATATTTTATTTTATCGGGTCAAATAAAATATAACACTTGTTCCCAATCCTTATTGGACATTAGAATCAATATGATTCCCCGACTTTAATTTAGAAATCTCCGGAATCCCTTTTTGGGCTGTTATCAGATAAATTGCCGATACCGATAATTTGGCCCCGTTTGACCAACCGGTCAACTCTATGCCATTGCCATGGCCCAATTAGGATATCCATCACCATATACATATTATCTAGTCCAAGATCAATATAATATGTGCTTCCGATAATATCGGGCGGCCCCACATCCGGTGTGGGCCCCACGTGAATTCTACTATTCACGTAATAGAAATGATAAAAAATTTACAATCACGTAAAAATGCTTTTATACATTTCTCAAGGTTCAATACATAATTTGGTACAGTACAAATACTCGGGGGCGGTGTTACACTGTTCGCAAGAGACATCAATGTTGCGAAGCTACGTAGCCGCATTTGAGCACGACAGTCGAGAACGGTTGCAGCGACATTAATGGTGAACTGTATATCGCCATTAGCGCTGTAAGAGAAACAACAGCAAGTTCGAAAACAGAGAAAGAAGTTTGAGATCTGAAGTGTTAGGTTTTGAGTAGTACGAACGAAGGCAGCTATGGACATCGTATCAGAGTATAATATGATTTCAAATGCAGATGAAGATAACGAAAGTGAAGCATCCAAAGAGTATGTAACATTTCGTACTATACATTTGGATTTTATTTTGTAGTTCTTAAAATAAAATGTTAAAGTACTTGCATGTGCGTTAAATTCTGGAAAACAGTAGCATCAATCAGGAGAAATGTTTATCTGATAAGGAATTTCATGTTAAATGTATGAATCGAGAATAGAGCATTTATATTGCTCATTATTTGCTGTGTGGTACTCAAATTTTACGTATATAGCTTAAAATTTGTTTATTAAGCAAAACAGTACATTATTAGCTTAAAATATTTGTTTTGCTTCTTAGATATTTCTTATTCTATTAAATGTTACATGAAAACTGGGAGTATACTCATTGTGTACTACTCATGTTTATTGCAAATAAAGTTATGTGTTTATTAAATAGTAAAATGCTTATAAAATATTTGTATTCTATAATAGTGTTGCTTGAAAAATAATATAGTACTCATCATGTTGTGGATGGTGTTGCTTGAAAAATAATATAGTACTCATAATGTTGTGGATAGTGTTGAAACAGTAATGGAATTTCTTAATAGAAGTCATAATATTTGCACATAATTTCCTATATAATTATTAAAGTATTCAAATGAACACTTAATATGCTCATTGAAAAAGTAGTAGATGATTTATCATTGTGTTATTATTAAAAGTCAAATGATTTACATATAGAGTGCTATATATCATTTCAAAAATAATATATGAAATCTTGTATCCTTAAATATTGTTCCATAAAGACTATTAACATACTCATCATGATATGGTGGTGTTTACTCATTTAAACAAATAATGCAGCAGTCCAACAACAAAGGCTGTAACAGAGATTCCAATCCTACGGAGAAAACCAAAAAGGAATCCAAATAGTAAAAAACCATTGGTTCAGCAAAAGAAAGGCATTATTCATAAGAAAAGAAAGACAACTAAAGAAAGTGCAAAAGGTGCAAAGGAGATGATTAGTGTGAATGTAGGTGCGAAAGATATAGAATGCTCCAAGCAGACAGAAGATGAAGTTCATCATTCAATTCAAGAGAAAGAAGATGAACAGTTTCATCAACATACAGTTGAGGATGCTGAGCAATATATTGAACAACATGAGCACCTACAGGAGATGATGAGCAAGAGACTCAATCCTTTGATGAAAATGATGATGATAATCATGAAGCTGAGTATGTTTTAAAAGAAGCTGAGCAAAAGACTGTTCCAGATGAGCAACAAGATTTGATTGAAGCAGAACAAGAAGGGGTTCAAAAGAAGAATACTGAAAAGAAGAGTAAGAAAACAATATCAAGGCAAACAGAGTCTGAGGATATTAGACAATATAAAAGAATGACAAGGTCAAGCACATCAGAAGAATGTGAAAAGAAAAAGGGAAATGAAGTTGAGAAAACTGGCTATAAAAGGAAAGTGATAGCAAGGAGAGATAAGCAAGAAGATGTTGCAAGAAAAAGACAAAGAACAAAAGCAGAAAAAGAGAAGCTGAAGAAAAAAAAAAGAATATGAACAAGAAGAGGAAGAAGATGAGGAAATAGAGGATGAGAGTAATGATAAACTGCCAAAGCTATGGAGTAGAATGTCTCCAAGAAGTCTGACTGAAGTAATCACAACACTGAGTGAAGAACAAAAAGTAGAAGTGGTGGAGATGGGATTTGGCCCAATACTATACTTACAAATCAAACAATTGCCAATGCAGTTGGCATATTGGGTTGTGAATAAGTTTGACAGTAGAAGCGTGTCACTGAAGTTGCCGAGCAATGAGAAATTGCGTATCAATGAAGATACAGTGCACTACACAATGGGGTTTCCAAAGGGAAAATTGAATGTAAAAAACATGATAGATAATCAAGGTGAAAAAACAGCAGAGATGGTTGCTGATTGGAGATCACAATTCCCAAATGATAAAGGGCTTGTGAAGACTGGTGAATTGAAAAGGGTTTTGGAAGAAAACAAACAAGCTAGAGGCTGGTTTAAAAAAAAATATTGGTTCTGCTTGTCACTTGTTTAATTGAAGGGAAACAGAACTCCTTTGTAAATCAAAGCATACTCAAAGCCCTGGATGATGAATCACAAATAAAGAATCTCAATTGGTGCGGCTATGCATTGCATAAATTGATTGAAGCAAAGGATTACTTGAATGAAAGTAGAGAACGATAGTTCCCAGGGCCTCTTGTCTTTTTGATTGTAAGTTAAAAATTTTATAATGTCAATGCTCAAATTAGTTGTGTTACTAATCAAATATGTATAATGTAATGCACAATATTTAAAACTTACAATATACAGGTGTTCTATGTTGACAATGTGGTATTCAAAGGAAGAAAAATAGAAAGAGGATTGCCATCTATAATTGGATGGACAACTCAGATTCTGAACAAAAGAGAAAAGGAAGAGATACAAAGTGGAGGGTTCGGATTCGGATACATAGATGAACCAAATCAAGGAACACTTGCAAACCCACATTTGATTCAAAATGAAGGAGAAATTGAAAAGGCAAATGTGGGAGAAAGCAATGAGCAGCCAAATAAGGTAAGGAAAATAATGTCTTATTTTAAAATTTGTTCAACAATGAAACTGGTAACATTTTTAATAATTAAATAAGTATATTTTATAAAAAATAGTTAGTTGATATGAAATAAAATAATAAATATTTGACATGACATTGTTTATAGTTTAAAATTCAAAATAAAATAACAAATACTCAATTCAAGAGTTAGTGATACTCATATGTTTCAAATAGGATATCATGAAAGAATTTGCTTCAGCAGCAAAGCACTTGGCTGATAGCATAGCAAACTTTGATGAAAAGTTTCAAGAAGCTGCAAAGGTGTTGCCTGATGATGATAAAATGAAGGTTCTGCTTGGAAAAGTCCATGGACTCTTCAACACATACTCAACAGAACCACGAACATCTGAAAAAGAAATATCATTGACGCCTGATGATGACTTCTGGACTGAGGAGGTTTTAAGGGCAGTTGAAGCTATTGAAAAGGCTCAGAAAAAAAGAAATGACAGGCCTACATTGACACAATATGAAAAGCCCAGCTTCAGACTGCTTTCACAAGAATCAAATGAGCATATTGATCTTTCTGAGCATGAAGAACATCGGAATGAGTATGTGCATGAGGTTGATGAGCATGAAGCTGAAGAAGTGAATGTGGGTTTAGAAGCTAGTCGTGTGACTGAAAAGGGAAAGCAAGTTTGTATTGAAGAAGAAGGTAATTGTCACGAAAATGTAGTGAAAGAAAAAAGAATACAACAGCGAACCCCTGCCCTCAAGTCACCGTTTGTGATAAGGGTTACAGAAATAAAGTGCGGAATAACTACTGAAGAAGTCAAACTAGCTCAATTTATCTTTGACGAGAAGTCTGATAAAACGTAAGTAACTAAATATTTATAAGAATAAGAATAAATTATTGGACTGTAATATTTGATTAATGTTAGCTGAGCATTGTTAATTACAAATAGGGATGTGTTATACAAAGAAAAAGAGCTGATGCTTTCGAGAAGTGAGATGGACAGTTTGAACATCAACTGTAAAGTCAGTCCACTGCTCAAAGATTTATGGGCTATGATTTTGAACGAAAATGAGAAGTTGAAAAGCACTGAATCAAGGAATAGATTGATATTCACGACATTGCCATGTGTAAGAATTATGGCTTTTAATTATTTCTATTCATATATTTGTAACAAATATCCTAAATATATATTTACAGAGAGTATTGGAGGAAAATCAGCTTAGTGCTCCAGCAACTCGAAATAGCAGGTTTATTGCAAGTACACGGAAACAATTCAAGAGGACATTGCCCAAAGTGAAGAACATGGACTTGTTTATCTTCCCAACTGAACAGAATGGTAGCTACTACCTTGTGTGCTTTGATTTGAAGTACATGAAGTTCTTAATAATTGATAGCTGTGACGTGGAAGTATCAATACAAATGAAGTACTTTTCACTACCATGGCAACTGGTAAGTTGACATTCATGTAAATTACATATTTATTTCTGTGTATTTAATTAGTTTTGATTGATTATTACTTTGGAAATTACACACTTATGGTGTAATAGTTTAAGTTGTAAAAATGTTTGTAATTTGTTTAGATTAGGTTTATACTGAGCTCAAACAAGTCCAAGATCACTCTAGGGACCATAGGTGAACATCACAAATGGAAGGAAGGTGCAAAAAATCTCAAGATTCTGATTTTTGGTGTTGTACCCGGTCGGGTATGACCTATACCCGATCGGGTACCTTGTTGAAAAATCAAATCGGATCGGATCCGGGACAAGGCAACGTGCAGGGGAGATTTTGGCACGATCGACTGTTCATACCCGATCGGGTGGCCGACATACCCGATCGGGTATAACTTAGTTTTTTATATTTCCGCGAAGTAACCAAGTACCCGATCGAGTGCCCTTACAGCCCGATCGGGTACACGACCCTGCAAGCCTAAAAAGCCTATAAATACCCCCCTTTCCTTCCCACAAAAATAACCAATTAACATATACTTCTTAGCTCAGTTTACGCACGCTCTTTCTTTATATTTTCTTCATGTTTAGTCTCCAAATGAGGAGCTAAACTCTTCCATCTTGGTTTTGCTACTTTGAAGCTTAATGAATTTGTAAGTTGTGAGTTATTTTCTTTAATCTTCTTCCTTGAATATTAATTATTTCATATTCATATTCCATATTAATATTTTGAGCATTACTTAAAGGATCAACTAGTTTTGTTTCATATATTAATTATTAGTAGAATCAATCGATTAATACGCTTGTTATTAATTCGGTTCTTTCAACGGTAGTAAAACTTGGATTATTAATGCATGCGTCTCATGGTTAATAATCTAAGGGGAATTAATTATATTGATTAAACCAATAAACCGCTTGTGTTGAGGTTATCAATCTCAATCGTTTTCATCTTAAGTTTATTGCTACTATCGGGCTAATATACGATGCGTGTTCTATATTAACTCGGTAGTAAGTTTTATTAATGAACGCGTCTCGTTATTAATAACTACCCTCGATGAACTGGATATACTCCTCGATTGAGTATTCGAGAGGAAGATAGTTAAAGATATAACCGGGATCGACGAACATTTCATTAAGTGGATAAAAGCAAAACCAAGTCCTCATCTCTATTAATCAAACTCATATAGGTTATTCATCTTAGTGTTAGTTAAATTCAATCAAATCAAACTTAAAACCCCCATTGTTACTATTTATATAAGAGAAAAGTATTCCTTTCCCTGTGGATACGAACCTTACTACACTATACTACGTATTAGTGTTGTATTGATTAATTATTTTGAGTGCACATCACGACAAGTGCACGTCAAATTTGGCGCCATTGCCGGGGAAAGGCAATTATTTTTCTTTTTATTTTATCTCATAAAAATCAAAAACAAAAAAAGAAAAAAAAATATTAAACAAAAATATAAAGTGTGCTTATTTTTCTATTTCTGAGTTTTGAGTATATGGTTAAACACCGATCTATAAACCAAATTACCTACCAAACAAAGCCCGAAACAGAACAAGCCTTCGAAAGGTTTAGGAATTTATTTCCGAATACTTCTTTGGAGGAATCATCAAGTGCTAGTTCTCATTCTAGCGACACCGAAGAGTCAATCACTATGGCTCTTGAAACAAGAACGCTGAGGGAGCTCACAGCTCCAAACTTGAATCAACAACCACTGTGTATTACCTTCCCTACACTTGATGAGGGTAATACGCTTGAGCTAAAATCTGGGCTCATTCATCTGCTGCCATCCTTCCATGGCCTGAGAAGAGAGGATCCGAACAAACACCTCTTGGAGTTCCACGTCGTTTGCACAAGCATGTGTCCAAACGGTGTGACAGAAGAACAGATCAAACTGAGGGCGTTTCCATTTTCTCTAAAGGATACCGCAAAGGATTGGCTATTCTACCTTCCTTCAGGAAGTATAGGTACATGGGCGGCCATGAAGAAAGCGTTCCTAGAAAGTTATTACCCTGCCTCTGTCTCCTCCTCTCTAAAAAAAGCAAATTAGCAACGTGGAGCAAAAGGATGATGAATCGTTCTACGAATATTGGGAACGATTCAAGAAACTATGTGCAAGTTGTCCATATCACGGCTATTCAGAGCAAGACCTCATCTTATACTTCTATGATGGTCTTTGCAATGAAGATAGGCGGATGATAAATGCCGCATGTGGAGGGAGAATTGTCAACAAAACCCCTTCTCAAGCTATAAACCTTATCTCGGAGTTGGTTGAGAATTGCAGACACTATGATCGACGGTCATCAAAACGAGTTATGGCGGCAGAATCCAACAACTCGTTGGAAAGTCAAGTGGCCGGCTTGACTTCTTTGGTTAAAGATTTTCTCTTAAATCCAAAAACAAAAGAAGTCAAGGTCTGCGGCATATGTTCAACACAAGGACATCCCACCGATTCTTGCCCAACACTACAAGAGGAGAATCCCGAACAAGTCAACGCATTGGGGTTCCAAGGTCAAAGGAGGTACGATCCGCATGGCAACACATACAATCCAGGATGGAGAGATCATCCAAATTTAAGGTATGGAAATCCTCAACAACCAAATTCTTCTTCCCAACAATACAACCAGCCCTCCCAAGGCCAAACTTCATGCTCAAATATGTCCACTGAAGACATGATTCGAGCACTTACCATGAGTGTATCAACGATACAACAAAGTGTGGCACAATTTCAAGAAACGACTAAATCTAGCATTCAAAATTTGGAGAACCAAATGAGACAAATTTCGAGTGCTGTGAGCTGGCTCGAGGCAAAAGATTCAGGTAGACTCCCCTCCCAAACGGAGCTAAACCCAAGACAACATGTTAATGCAATCATGTTGAGGAGTGAGACGACATTGAAAGAGGTGCATAGGGAAGAAGAGCAAGATGAAAAGGAGGTTGGCCTCGAAGAAGATTTTCAACCGGAAGAGAGGACCATAAAAGCAAAGTTTCCACCATTGTCCTCATATGAACCATTACCCCCATTCCCCGAAGCACTGAAGGAAACAAGGAAGCTGGAGAAAGATGCTGACATATATGAGACTTTCGCCAAATGTGAGGTAAACATTCCGCTCCTTAACTTAATCAAAAGTGTTCCCCGTTTTGCTAAATTTTTAAAAGAATTATGCACAATAAAAAGAAAAAGCAAATTAAAGGGAAAACAAAAGGTGGAGGTTGGTGAACGTGTCTCGGCAATTTTTCAAAAGAAACTCCCCGAGAAATGTAGCGATCCAGGCATGTTCACAATCCCATGAAAAATAGGGGACACTTAATTTCCAAGGGCCTTGTTGGATTTAGGGGCTTCGATCAATGTCATTCCATATTCGTTATACAAGTCTCTAAAACTTGGCCCAATGAATGAAACTGGTGTGGTAATCCAATTGGCGGATAGGTCTAACACATACCCCAAGGGCATCGTAGAGGACGTACTCGTAAAAGTTGAAAATCTGATTTTCCCTGTTGACTTCTACGTCCTCGAAATGGGAGATGATAATCAAACAACACCCATCCTCTTGGGTAGACCTTTTCTAAAAACCGCAAAAACAAAAATAGACGTGTCTAATGGTTCGTTAACTTTAGAGTTTGATGATCAAAAGGTAGAATTCAACATTTTTTATTCTACGAAAAAACAAATTAAAGACCAATCTCTTTGTTCTCTAAATGTTTGTGAACCACAAACCCCGAATATTTTTGTTGAGAAAAAAACTGAGAAAATCACACTTTTTGAAAAAGAAGAATTGATCAAATTTTCAAAAGGAGAATGGATCCCACCTGGGGTTGAAGTGATAACAGGGAAGAAATACCGGCCTTACTGGAGAAGGCCGAAAAAGAAAAATGAAACAAAGGATGTTCACGATCCCACATAAAAGAAAATAAAATAAAAATAACGTCGTGCCGCGACATTAAATCAAGCGCTTCTTGGGAGGCAACCCAAGTTTATATTTTGTTATTTTCATTCATTTTTGTGTGTGTTCTTGCATTTTCAAAAAAAAAAACATCCAGGGCATGATGCCCGATCGGGCAACACATGTACCCGGTCGGGTATAGGCAAAAAAATCGAATAAGCCTGGATCGGGTAACCCATACTCGATCGACGCAGGGGTTGAAAATAATAATATACCCGATCGGGTACCACTACCCACCCGGTCGGGTATTGCTTAAAAAAATTCAAAAAAAATTCTCGTAGCAACTTACCCGATCGAGTACCCGGCCTATTCGATCGGGTATCAACCCCTGGGCTGAATTTAATAAAACAAGCACATACCCGATCGGGTGTACACATGTACCCGGTCGGGTGTATTTTGAAAAAAGGCTAAATTAGTTCGTTGCAAAGTACCCGATCGGGTACACTCATACACCCGGTCGGGTAAATTAAATTTTTAACGGGGAATTTAGTTCGCACCAAATTGCCCGATCGAGTATACCCCAACTCGATCGGGTAGCAGCCTAGATTTTGAAGAAATACACGCATACCCGATCAGGTATGTCGGGCCACCCGATCGGGTACACCAACTTTTAACCCAAATCCGACCCCAAAATTAGGGCTGGCAATATCACCCGCACCCGCAGATACCCGGTCAACCCGAACCGAAAATATGGACGAAAACCCGAAAAAGTATGGATGAAAAATGGATGACGGATGGATTGATAGATGGGTTGGATCGGGTGTGGATGAACACTCATCCAACCCATCACCCGACCCATCACCCGCTCCATCCACCCGCACCCGGTGACCCGCATATAAATATATATACTTATATTATAATATCTATTGAATAATATATATTAATAATAACAATAGTAATAATAATTAATATTAATATATTAACAGATACTACGTAACTCCGGAGTATAATTGTAGCGACTAAAATAGGAGCCCAACGCTAATCCCGTTGAACTGCAATGTAGAATTGACAACTTGAAGAAATTTTATATCTATTTTGTTTGACAATTAGTTCTTTCTTTATCATCGGCAGTGAATTAATGATTGTAATATACTTAATTTCTCAAGTTTTTGTTGTTATTTTTCAATGAATTCTTAATTTTTGTCATGATTTCTCTTTATAATTTATTTATTTTGTCTTTCAAGTTTGACCTTTTGTATTCACCTATTACTCACCCGATGCACCCGATAACCCGTTCATGATGGATGGGTTGGATGTGGATGTAAATTTTAATGGATGATGGATGGGTGGGTGGACAATAAAAAATTATCGGGTGGACGACGGATGAGCCTTCACCCGGTATAAATCCGACCTGTTGCCACCCCTACCCAAAATCGGCCACTTCATCTTCTCCAACTTCTCAAATTCGAAACCCCTTTCCCAAACCCACCATTTTCAAACCTTCTTTCTTCAATTACTCCCTCATCTCTCACCCAAATCACCTCATACAACAACCAAAATCTTCCCCTCACTCTCCTCTACAACCTCATACCCACAAAACCATCTCTCTCACCATATACCACAAAAACAGAAACCCTACCCATCTCACCCCTTCTCCGAAAATCGAGCTTCAACAAGCACACCAATGGCACCCAAAAGAGACAGGACTGAGAGTTCAACTGCAAGGGGACCAATTCACGGATTTGAGGATGTCCGGTTCGGCCCGGGGAATCAAAGGCAACGGTTCTTGGCTCAAATAAAAAGGCAAGTAATCCCCTCCAAATTTCTATGTCATGATGCTCTCACTGCTTTAGGCCTGTTGAAAAGAATGCGCAATTTATTTCATGAGTTGGATATGAACTTGATTTTTGATATGAAGTATAATTGTAATGAGAGGGTGATTTATGAATTCTTGAGCTCGGCTAAGTTTGTTGAACGTGAAGAAAGGGAGGAGTTCAATAACGACACACTCAAGTTTCGTTTATTCAACAATGAATACACAATAACGAACATGAGTTTGCCCAACATTTTGGCATCCCCGTGGCCCATGAGAGGGGAATACCGGAAAATACAATAGATGGCCACACTTTATGGGCTAAAATGACCGGAGAATTGAATGTGAGCGCGTCTAAACTTTCAATTAGTCACGTTCAACATCCTATTCTCCGACTTTTCCTAAAGTTTTTGGCCAATTGTTTGCTCGATCGCCCTAACAACCACCACACTCGGATGGGGGACGTGGCCATCCTCACCCTAGCCCTCTTCCAAATACCCGTGTCATTCAACCTTTGCAACCTAATGTGGGATCATATGGAGAAAACTTGCAACAAAACGGGTAATATTGTTGTCGGGGGGGTCATTATGCATTTGGCCTCCAAATTCGGCTATGTGGATAATGAACCAATAGCCGATCAATGTTTGATGAATTTGACTTGGCTTGGAAACGCGGGGTGCATCTCCTTCGCCCACAAAGACTACAATGGAGAAACCACTACAAGTGACATATCCTACCCAAACCAACCATCTACTTCCCCATCCCCTCCAAAGAAATACCTAAACTTAGGTATAAAAGGGCAAGTTTTGAAATCACGCATTACCTACTTCCTAATGCCATACCACCACATTTTCAAGCCCAAGCCGAACAACCCGAACAAATTGAGCATCAAGAAGCCCAAGGAAATGCACAACATGATATTCCCGACCCCCCTCAAAACCCACCACCACAACACATCCCCAATCCTCCTTACAACCCTCCTCCAACCGACTATTTCCAACAACTCTTGGAGGGCCAACAAGCCCTACTTGCCGGGTTCAACACAATGAACCTCAACTACACAAACATGGGTGAACAACTTGCACAAGTCCGAGAGGAGCAACGGGCGGGCTTCCAAAGAATTGAAGAGCTACGACAAGCCGACCTCCACCGCTATGAAGAGGACTATCGTAGGACTTATGGTCCTATGTACTCATATATGGCCCATCACGGGAACTTCTCTTCTATGGCCACTCCTCCTCCTCCACCGTCTTGGTATGACCCCTCTCAATGGGGTAACTTTGGAGGTTCGAGCTACGGTGGTGGGGGCTATGATGACGGGATGGGAGACGACACTACCATGGGAGAAGGGGACAATGAGGGCGGCACCGGTGGAGGCTTTGGAGGAAGTTTTTATGGTGGTGAAGGCGGGCACTAAGGATAGTGCCTTGATCCAAGTGTGGGGGAGGAAGACTCATTTTTTTGGTATGTTAAAATCCTTTTTGTTTTACCTCATACTAAGCATTATTTTCTTGTACTCTTTGTACACACACACCCAAAAAAAGGGGGGGAAATAAATGCTAGTTAGGTTGAAAACCCAAAAACGGGCAATCTAAGCAACAAGGGCTTAAAAAAATGAGTGAGTCGGAAAGGAAGGAAAAACAAAAAGAGATGCTAGGATGAAAACCTGAAAAGGCTCCTAGGCAAAACGAGAGATATGAGAGAAATTTGTTTTTGCAGGACATCATCTATTGAAGAAAAGAAGAAGAAGAAAAGGAGAAGAGGAAAAGAAGAAGTAAGGAGCATAAAAGACCTTTAAACCCAAGGAAATGTTGTTCTGTAAACTCATTTACAATACTTGGTGGTCTTAGTTTCCTATTTCTTACTATCTTCTTTTGATGAACATTGTATAAACATTTGGTTTTACTCGAGGTCGAGTAAAGAAACTAAGTGTGGGGGAGTTGACATTCATGTAAATTACATATTTATTTATGTGTTTTTAATTAGTTTTGATTGATTATTACTTTGGAAATTACACACTTTTGGTGTAATAGTTTAAGTTGTAAAAATGTTTGTAATTTGTTTAGATTAGGTTTATACTGAGCTCAAACAGGTCCAAGATCACTCTAGGGACCATTGGTGAACATCACAAATGGAAGGAAGGTGCAAAAAATCTCAAGATTCTGATTTTTGGTGTTGTACCCGGTCGGGTATGACCTATACCTGATCGCGTACCTTGTTGAAAAATCAAATCGGATCGGATCCGGGACAAGGCAATGTGCAGGGGAGATTTTGGCACGATCGACTGTTCATACCCGATCGGGTATAACCTAGTTTTTTATATTTCCGCGAAGCAACCAAGTACCCGATCGAGTGCCCTTACAGCCCGATCGGGTACACGACCCTGCAAGCCTAAAAAGCCTATAAATACCCCCCTTTCCTTCCCACAAAAATAACCAATTAACATATACTTCTTAGCTTAGTTTAGGCAAGCTCTTTCTTTATATTTTCTTCATGTTTAGTCTCCAAATGAGGAGCTAAACTCTTCCATCTTGGTTTTGCTACTTTGAAGCTTAATGAATTTGTAAGTTGTGAGTTATTTTCTTTAATCTTCTTCCTTGAATATTAATTATTTCCTATTCATATTCCATATTAATATTTTGAGCATTACTTAAAGGATCAACTAGTTTTGTTTCATATATTAATTATTACTAGAATCAATCGATTAATACGCTTGTTATTAATTCGGTTCTTTCAACGGTAGTAAAACTTGGATTATTAATGCATGCATCTCATGGTTAATAATCTAAGGGGAATTAATTATATTGATTAAACCAATAAACCGCTTGTGTTGAGGTTATTAATCTCAATCGTTTTCATCTTAAGTTTATTGCTACTATCGGGCTAATATACGACGCGTGTTCTATATTAACTCGGTAGTAAGTTTTATTAATGAACGCATCTCGTTATTAATAACTACCCTCGATGAACTGGATATACTCCTCGATTGAGTATTCGAGAGGAAGATAGTTAAAGATATAACCGGGATCGACGAACATTTCATTAAGTGGATAAAAGCAAAACCAAGTCCTCATCTCTATTAATCAAACTCATATAGGTTGTTCATCTTAGTGTTAATTAAATTCAATCAAATCAAACTTAAAACCCCCCCTTGTTACTATTTGTATAAGAGAAAAGTATTCCTTTCCCTGTGGATACGAACCTTACTACACTATACTACGTATTAGTGTTGTATTGATTAATTATTTTGAGAGCACCTCACGACAAGTGCACGCCATAAGTATAAAAACATCTATTATTTTTTTTTAAAATGAGTATAGGTGCTAAAAACAATGAGTATCTTTACATATTTTTTGTGCAAAGTGTTTATTAATACGTCATACAAAAACTGTTTAATTGCTTAAATTTACAGAAAAGTGCTGTTTTGAAATGGCTGAAAGAAGAGAAGCATCAACATGCAGAAAAAGTGAAGACTATGAAGCCAGAGATAGTAAGAATGGGATGGAGAAACAAAAAAATAAAGCCAATGAAGGAGTCTACCTTATGAGACATATGGAAACTTATAATGGAGAAACTGAGTGGGAGTGTGGCCTAGAAAAAGAAAATGTAAAAAATCCAGTTTTTTTATTAAAGATTTATTGTTATTTTACTAATATGTGAAAGGTATGAAATGTTAATACTGACATATATAATCATGCAGGAAAAGCCCATTCAGATCTTGAGGTTTAAGTACTTGCACAAGATGTTGACATTTCAAATGAATGAAGTCAGGGGAGATGTGATGTCAAAAGTGAAGGAAATGTAGTGCTTCTATGATGAAGAAAGACTTAGTTTAATCTCAAGTATAAATGCTTCCATGGTTTCTTTTGTGAATCTCTCAGACATGTTGTTATGTATGCTGTTATGGTTTCATTTGAGATCAAACATGTTTTGTTTCTGTTAATGACATTATGGTGAATATCCTGGACATGTCATTACGTTTAGGTGAATGATCATTACTAGTATATTAGGCGCTCATTTTGAATGCATAAATACTCTATTTGATGAGTAGTAGAGTAAAGTTATAAAAATCTAGTGTGGAAAAAGTTTATAATATATCAAACAAAAACGTTTTCAAAAGTTTTATTTTTAACTATTAGTAAGTTAGTTAAAATGCTACAAGTAAATATGGAAATCAACTTTGGTACATTCGCTCAATTTTTTTTACATAAATGCTCATTAGGTAGGTAATAAATAATCAAACCAAATATTCTGAGCATAAGATAAAACAAAATTAAATATTAGTGAATAAAAGAGAAGTTACTATAAAATTAAAGATTAGTGAATAAATGAGAACTTACGAATCATTTATGTAATTACAATATATATATTTATATATGGAAATGTAAAAGGTTTGTTTTGAACATCAGAACAACAAAGTTGAGTAATAGAAGTACAGACATGTCTAACCCAAAAAGTGATTACTGCGGACATACTAGTTAGAAATTACAGTCTTGGGATTTATATATGCAAATGATCACCAACAAATTATACTTTGAGCATCAACACAAAGACTCTGAGTAATATAATAACATAAATTAGACTAACAATAGCAAATGAGTGAACAATGGCAGTGTGACTACATTGCTATTTGATAATGTAATTACAAACTCGAGTGCTCAGGTGCTGATGTACTAGCTTGACGTGACTTTTTCCTTGCTCTAGCTTGATTTGTTTTCACTTCAATAACACTCTTGCGACACACATTTCTTTCACTCTTTTTCGTTGAAGTCTTTGGATTAGATATTCTTGAACTAACACCAACTGAGGTAGAATCACTATCAGAGAAATAAATGCTTCCAACTTGATCTTCAACATCCAGTTTCAACTTTTTAAAAGATTCTTCACACAATTGCCTTGCTGTAGAATTAGAATCACTAGAGCACAAAAGCTTGTGAAATTTCTTCTGCATTTGCATTCTCCAAACTGAAGGTAACACATTAGAAGAATCGTCTAAAACAAAAGGTTGTTCACTTGGAAGAGACTTCGCTGTACGAGTCCAACATTTTAGAATATAACAATCCGGAATAACTTCTACACAGTGAATATGGTATATACGAAGAATATGACAACACAAAATACCAGACTCTGGAAATTTCTGACAAGAACAACTAACAAAATGGGTTGTTACATCAAACGAAACCCAATGTGAAAACCGATCCAAATGAGGCATCCATACTAAATATCCCATTAAAGAACCTTGATGGTATCTAAGTTCAAATTTCAGAGACATACCTCGCATAAATTCATTCTCAAAAAGCTTATAAGCATCAATCGTATAAAGCTTAGAAGCTTTATGTAACAAACTAACATGAGGAATGGCAATTTCAGGATAACCATCCAAACAACGCTGATGATCTTTGCCCTCATTACTTCTCCAATGACTGACAGCTTCACTAAAAAAATGATAAAAGTCGCATAGGGAAGAGGTAGCATTCAGTTTTCTAGACAAAGAATGATTTGTGGTCTCGCTTCGTTGTGAAGATAAAATGCCAGCAGAAAAGAATTCTTTTGAAAAAGCTGGGCACCATTTGTCCCTCATTTCATAAAGTTTGGTTAACCAAGGATTATCACAGCAATTATATTCAGATATCATTCTGCAAAACACAAAAGATAATCATTTCACGCAACAGTTTACTCATTGATGTTATTAACAATACTCATAAACACAGTATTAATGTAAATGTGAAAAAAAAATATAATGACAATGAAACATACCTAGTCCAGTAATAATCAAATTCAGCAACGGTATGACAAAGCTTCAAAACATGATCAAACAAATCCAAAAATCCATCTTGATTCCTTAAATCTCGTATATGTTTCTTAGAATTTTCAATGATATGCCATATACAAAGACGATGTTTGGAGAGAGGAAAAACTGTAGAAATGGCAGCAGCCATGGCAGCAGATTGATCTGTCATAACAGTTCTTGGGTGGACAGAACCCATAGATTGCAAAAAAGTATTGAAAAGCCATTCAAACGACTCAATTCTCTCATTTAACAAAAAGCCACAACCAAACATGCAATTATGAGTGTGAGAGTTAACACCAACAAACGGTCCACAAATCATGTCATACTTGTTGGTGCGGTAAGTGGTATCATGAATAAGCAATTCACCAAATGCAAGATAATCTTCCTTCATTTTCTTGTCTCTCCAAAAAAACTAACCAAACTACCATCTATATCAAGCTCAAAAGAAAAGAAAAAATCGTCTTCATTTGCCTGTCTGTTCTTAAAAGTATTAATCAATGTGTTTGCATCACAACCATCAAATGATTTTTTAATCTTTTTTGTCAACTCATTATAAGCATCACACAAAAGAAAACCAACAGCAGGAGATCCGCCAGCTTCTGCTTGCAAGCAACGAAAACCATCTGCTACTTTAACTCCTTTATTTTTCAAATGTTGCAAATACTCTAATTCACTTGATGAAACGACACGATGAGACCTCACATGATGAACTAAAGAACTCAGGAAAAAATTGTGATTATGAACCATATCATGCCTAACAACAACAAACTCACCAGTAGGCTTTATCTCAAAATATATTTTTGCCTTGCAACCAGTTCGCCTATCAACTTTTGTATATTGTTTAACTACAACACCTTTATTCCTTTTTAGACCTTCTTTCGTGCAACAAAATTCCCTTCCCCTAAAGCCAGAACCACCACCTCTCTTTCTTAAAGTAGAATAACGAACATCAAATCCAATTCTGTAAGCGTACTCATTATATAGCTGAAATGCCCCTTTTTCTGAAAAAACTGTTTTACCCAATAACTCAGAAATTTCATCTTGCTTAACTGATATTGTTTCAACACACAAAGCCTCATCAGATTGGTTTACATGAAAAAAGTAGAAGAATTATGAACTGCCTACAAAAAGTAAAAATTTAAAACAAAATAAATAACAAAGTGATAAAATGTAAGAAAGCACAATACATGGTAGCACAAGAACAGGTTCAGTTGTAGACAAAAAATCTTCACCTAAGGTATCACCAGATTCCAAGTAATCTGAATAAAAAAAATACAGAAATAAAAAATCAAATAACTCAAAGTAAATAACACACAGAAAACGACAACAATACGTGACATCTAAGGAGAGAAAATATTACTGCAATCAACTTCAAAAAGTTCATCTCTGGACTCAATATCCTCTATTAATTTGCCACTGCAAGACATATCATCTAGACAGGGGATAACAATTCAAAACAAAAAAACAGATGATCATTACTAAGTAAAATAATACTCATCTAATAGAATGAATATGTTATTTGAAAAATTACCTCCACAAGTAGACATAACATCAATTCTAGGATTAAAAAAAATGCTGCAAAATAAAACATTTGAACTGAATGAAAAAATGATTGTGTTCGAGTAGATTAAAATTGAAGATGTAAGTTTATGTAACTACTGAAGAACTACTGATGTCTTAAGGGGGGAATAACTACTGAAGAAGTCAAACTAGCTCAAACATCTGAGTTGATTACATAAACTAAGATCGAAGATGGAAACAACAAAGAAGAAAAATTGATTAAGACAATAAGATATTGTAGTTTTCAAAAGTTGAGAAAATATGAAGCAAAATAAAGATTGAATAGGGTAGAGAAGAAATATTACTCGCATTGATGACCAAACGGAATCTTGAGCTGCAAAGATCGAAAGCGATAGAGAAGAAAGAGACGAACGAAAAAAACCTAGGAGAAGAGGGAACGAGAAGAGGACGGACCAGCGAGCGGATGAAGAGGATGGGAAGGACCAGCGCGGAGAAAGATCAGATTAAACAAAAGGGTCAAAGTTGCTGTTAATTACAAAAAAACCCGGCTGTACCATGTAATTTACCCTTATACTCATCCTTATACTCACTTCTGTGAAAGGCTTTTTTTGTCTATGAAGCCTATTCACAGACAAAATGTCTTTTTTAGCACAGACAAAAAGAAATATTTTGTCTGTGAACGGAAATCACAGACAAAAAAAGCCTTTCACAAACGTGATGGGTATAAAAGTAGGTATAATGGTGGGTACAAATTTCTTTTTTGATTTTTAATAAATCGAATTTGCTGATTATAAATGTAAAATATAGATGCAAAGGATTTAAAATCATTAATTAAAGTATAGAGAACGAAGAAAACGAAATATAAGGTACAAAAAAAGGTGATAACTTTTTTATTTTCTCTTGAAAAATTTCAACAACTCTTGAATCTCGTCACCTCCAGACTCTGGACCTCTGGTGAAGGGTTGGCTGCTTCCACTAGTGGCATCATTTTATGAATTCCCTGTACGAACACTTTAGAATATAATATATTTGGAAGTTAGGTTTTGGAGGGAAGGAGAAGGGAAGGTTGAGGAGAGTTTAAGATTTTCTTTTCTTGATTAGGAGTTTAGAAAAATGTAGAGGAATGTTTTGAAAGACTTTTGTATAACTCTTCAAACCCCCTTAGTTATTAAGTTTCCCTAATTTGGAGTTTTTGAAGGATAACAATGTAAGTGATAACTTTAGCTCAATTTAAACAAGTGATAACTTTAACTTTAGCTCATCTTAAGCGATTTTATATATAACTATTGTAGCTCATATCTTTTCAAATTTATAATTCTCAAACAAAAATAAAGATTTCTTTCAAATCTCACGTCTAACCTTCAAAATCTCTCCTTCTAACGTGGAGCTGATTAGGTGCACGCGTAAATAGTGGTGGTCGAGTCTAGTTTTGGTCCAAGCCTCCAAGGACCGATTGATTCACAGGAAAATATTGCTAGAGCCGGTACCATAATTGGGTAGGACCGGTACCGAGGTGATCCCACTTTACTTGAAATGTTTCATGTCTATCTTGGTTTATCCGCTGCTGGTTCCAAGCCGCTTTTATTCTATTTTATTACCTCGTTCATAATCTTACGAAGACTACTAGTAGTCACTACTCACCTTG